TGGTGAAAATATCTGTTTGTGTTGGTAGCTAACTGAAGATCTCTGAGAAACTACTTTTTCTGTACTTGTCTATAAGAGAAAAATTGAAGCAAACCAACTGCCATAGGATCTGCTTCTCCTCCTATCTGGGAACCTGAAACTTTTCTGAGAGACTAGAGTGTGTGTCACTCTAGAATGAGCTTCAGTTGGCAGAATATAATACCCCAAAGAGAATTTAGCTGTGGAGTTTGCGTAGTCCTCTTTAGAATCATAGAATCCTTAAGATCGGAAGGGACCTTTCGAGATCATCTATGTCATCTAGTCCAACCCCCCTGCACATGCAGGGTCACCTAGAGCAAGTGGCACAGGGCTGTGTCCAAGCGGGTTTGGAAGATCTCCAGAGAAGGAGACTCCACAACCTTTCTTTAGATCTCTGAAGAAGTACTTGCTTCTGACTTCTGGCAGTGACCTACTGTATCTTTTCTGTTTTGCATGATGGTATTTCCATTTGTAGTCATATAGTGCCTTATCATACCAAGTTTGGACAATATTAGAGCAAAATAAACTTCTTTTTCCCCTGGTACAGTGGATTGCTGTTGTCTTGCATGTGCTGGATTACTGGTGTCTTGCATGTACTGGCCAGGCCAGTTCAGGATCCTGTTGTGGAGGGAGGCGCTACAGGAAGCTCTGCTGAACGAGCCCCTCGTTCTGTGGTGTCTCTGCTAGTGTGTCCCATCCTGCTGATCTTTATGCACAGTAGCATCAAGCTGGCTACCGCGGGGGCATATTCTGACTAGCTTGTCTGCTTTAAGCATGTGCCCTGGGAGTCGGTCACCCTGTGTCAGGAGGGTGCTTTGCTTGGGGATGCTGGCTGCTGCAACAAGTCAAGACTCCAAGCCTGGGGCCCTGGGTGACTGCCGTATGTTTAGCAAGACTTTGTATGCCTGAGTTTGGGAGCCCTTAGTGGGGAGAAGGGAATCCTTTACTCAGATAGTTGCTAGTTGCCAAGTAAAGCCCTCACCCTTCATCTGAGTTTATAAAACATTCATTTCTTGTATCTGATTACAAGTGTAGGGATGTTGTGAGTATTATGGGGGAGCGTTACTTTAAGCAGTGGAATGAAGTGTCGTTTTGAAGCACCTCTGTTTTAACTGCTGCTGTCTGGCCGTGTGTGAGGCAAAAGGCCAGTATATTGTAGCACATTCTGTAGCTGCTGTAAATCTCTATGCAAGTGCACATGACTGGGTGTCTCAGTCTCCCTTTGTGAAGTCCTTTTGCCTTGTTTTCATCATTTATTCCCCTTCTCTGAAGCATGAAATGTGGCTTGGCGCTTGGCCACCTCAACTTTGCAGTCATTTAAGCTACAAATGTGCTGCGTGTGGCAGCTGCTCCATAACCAGCTCCCTAAAAAATGAGAGATGTTTAATAGCACATGGCACTGTATCCTGCGAAGATGGGCTGAGGTCTGGATTAAATGGCTGGGAGGGATGAATGCGACCTCAGTCCTTGGAACTGGTGACAGCGTAGGCCTGGTGTTTGAGCAACTATTATGTGAATATACATGTGTGAATACACATACGTGAATATGTGTTTTTAAAGTTCACTTGATGCTTATGTGCAATACTCCAAAAGCCTCTGTTCCATCTATAAATGAATTGAACATCTGGGAGCAGCAAAAACTTCCTTTGCTATCGTAACACTGTTGTCCTATGAGCACTGGTTGAATCCGATCTGGAGGGGTCATTCCTAATCATCAGTGTTACTGGAGCTTCCTCTCTAAGGCCCAGACAGCTTTGGGCCAGGAGTAACTTGTTTGGTAACAAACAAGTTTCTGATTATTGCAGAAGTGGCTTTATGAAAGATAACCTAATATTATAGTAACTGGTAGATGGTCCATATGCCTTCCTCAGGAAAGTCCAGTCACTAATCTTAGAAGTGCAAGGCAAGTGTTAGCCCCTCCAAATTTCTCTTCGACTTCTTATCTTGAATTTCCCATCCCTGTTTTGCAGCCTGGTAGCATGCTTTCTGTGGGAGGCATTCCAACCTCTTTCTTTTTGTAGCCCTTGCCAATACTTACTTCTTTTTGCTTGCAATCACTGAGGTGGGAAAGCAGTCACCATCATTAGGAGCTACGTGAGTTTGTTGCTCTGTGAAGGCACCAAAGTGTGGAGCTGACCAAAAAGAGCAACTGATCACTGGCACTGTGTTTTTCCTCTCAGGAATCCTGTCTATAGAGCAGCTCATCAGCCGTGTGGGCGTGATTGGGGTGACACTCATGGCTTTGCTGTCAGGATTTGGTGCTGTCAACTGTCCATATACTTATATGTCCTACTTTCTTAGGTAAGTGCAGCCTCGTGAAATATTTTGTCCACCTTTCTGCTAGCTATTAATCTTCTTCAGTTGCTTTGAATCAAGAGTTTTTCGAAAATGTGATTTTACCATTTACAGGGATTTGGCAGTGAATTTCTTTTCCCCATGCTCCCAGTGGGCAGACCCTTGTTGTTGCTTTGCCTGCGTGCTAGAATTGTTTAATTGTGGACATGCATCCTCCTCATATACGTATCTCTTTTCCTTTTTGTTTAATTGGGCATTTGCAATTTTGCCCTGAAATGGGATAGCAGCCCTAACAGACTGTCTTCACTTTGCAGGAATGTGACGGATGCAGATATTCTGGCTTTGGAGCGCCGCCTCCTTCAAACTATGGACATGATTGTTAGCAAGAAAAAAAGGTAAGAAGGCAGTAGAAGCATGAAATGATTTATTTTGAGGGCTGGAGTCAGTACAGTTTAAAGTGGTCTGGGAATTATCAAGAGTCTTAGCTGTGAGGCCAACATATTCCAGTGAAGCAGGTGACTGAATTGGGTTGGAACTGTGGCGTTTTATTCTGGCAGTTGTTTGTGATCTGGTACACAACTTATTATTTTTTTTTCCCCAGACTTGTGCCCTAACTAGCATCATTTCTTACTGCGGTGACACTGGTTAGACAAATTTTAACTCTGCGATGGCAGCTTGACTGACTAGTCAGTAAAATGAATCCCATTCTCTCCAAATGAATAGATGTTCCTTCCTTAAACTACCACAGTTAACTCTCTCACTGTCAGTGTCAGTACAGCAACTGGTTCATACGTAATGAACTCTCTTGTGCTCTGTGGATCCTTTGTTTCCTGGTCAAAATGAAGCAGGACAATGAACTGGCATGGAAACACTTCCATCCTTGCTACTGGCAGGTTTTACATTAGTTAAGTTGTGTGGAAATTACAGTGTGGTTGAATGTAGTGCAGCGCCCGTCTATGCCATGAGAGCTCTTCATTCGTTGGTTTAGCTTGTCCCACGTGCCCTAAGTAAAAAAGCTGCTCTCAGAAATGATGTAATTGCATTTACGCCGAAAAGATTTTTGTGTTCTATCACAAACTACATATTTCACACCACTTGTACTGCATAAATGCAATTACCGTAGTTGCTTCAGAGGTTTGTCTGCCTGACACTGAATTCTTGCAGTAAATGCCAAAATATTATTTTGTCACACCAGTATTTTAATTGGAGCTTTTAATATATTACAAGAGAGCTTTTAGGTAGTGTAACCTTGCTGAATAACTCTCTAGCATGTGTATCCGCTAATCGGTGCTAGCAAGTGGACTAAATGTCATTATAGCAAATCTTTTTTCTCCTAGTTTGAAATGTGAGTGTGTTTAAGTGGTGATCAAATTTGTTGTGAGGCATAAGATGATAAGTAGTGAGAGAATTTATTTAAGGAGAGAGATTTAATATAATATCATCTGCATACAAAAATATTGGCTGTGGAATTGTAAAGTTAATGTACAGTGCTGCTTTGGGTTCTGTGTGCTCTTATGTTTTGTACGCAGTTTTTGGACACTGCCTTTGGGAGGATCCTACTAGGATAGAAATAAGAGTGGTTGGGGCTCACACCTGGGGCTTATGTAGTCTCAGAAAATGTGCAAGAAGTAGTAGAAGCTTAAATTTTGTGGATTTTGTTCTCTTTTTGCTTTGAGAACGAGCAACAGCTTGCTTAGTTGGACTACTTGCTCATATAGAGCAGAGCTTAAGAAGTTAGATTTGTATCAGTCTAGATGCAGTGCACATTATCTGGCAGGACAAGTGGGAGCACCAGTATTTTATTGTGCAGGGTAAACGCTAAGGTTCTATAAATTGCCAGCTTCTAGTTGGCCACTTTTTCAGTACTGCTGATGATAACTCCAGTCTTTCAGTGCACACAAGGATTAGAAGGTAATAGAGTGTAAACCTTTCTATTTCCTTTGCTGATCTTGATGTTTTTCTCATAGAAACCTTTGTTCTTACTGAGTTTCTTGTCAGTAAGAGATAGTAATTGAAAATTGTTTTCCCTGATACCTTTTGCACATGAGTTATCTGCATTATGTGCTCTACTTTCTGAGTGAATTCACATACAGCCTTATGAAAATTCAGCTTTAAGGTTACCAGGTTCTTTATACTCACCTTTGCTGACACTAGACAACTAAGCCTCAAGTTTGAAAGCCCTATATTCTGTGACACCACAGCTTTATTTTGTTTTATATTTAAATAGGGTCAACTCAGCCCATCTGAAAGAGATATGCACAGGCAAAGTTTGTAGTTTTGCTTTCGAATCCCTTCTGTGAGGTTCCTAACTACATGTGAGTGTAGATATCCCTGTCACTTCTTAGAAGAAAAGGTTTGCTTTCGTATCCTAGGCTACATATAACCTTGCATTTCACCTTGATGTAGCTGCATTTTACTGCAGTGCTGTGGATCACTTGGGATGGAGTGTGTAAATCGGGTAGTGTGAAGAAGGCAAGGATAAAAATGCAGTTCTTGCTTCTATTTGGCAGCTATCAGGAAGAATTAAATCATTTTAAGAACCCTGCTGTTTCTAATCTGTGGGCTTATGTGCTCTAATGTGTGCTGTGTGGGATGCCTCAAGGGGGCTTCTCTTGCTCGGTGCAAGGGAGGATGATCTTTTTTATTATTATTACGCTGCTTATCAGCAACCTTGAAGAGAGCGGCGTGCCAAATGGAGCAGTATTGGCTGCAGCTACCAAAAAGGCTCTAAACAGAGGCAAACTGCAGCTTGCCTTGACAATCCCCGGACTAGTTTTCTGCCTAGGAGCGGGGAATTGGTTCACAGATTTCAGAGGGGAGGAGCGCAAGGTAACGAGGCCGGAAGCTCGCGGGGATGAGGCTGCCGCGCACACGAGAGCGCGAGGGACGACGTGCAGCTGCTGCCGCACTGTAGCGGGTGCTGGGGGTCACGCTCACGTCGCCTGAGATGTCTGCTGGCTCCATCCTCTAACAGATTAGTGTGTCTGCCCTGTGAGGGCTGGGCACGGAGTGCAGCAAGGAGCGGCAGGCAGCGGATCAAAGCGCCGCTGCGCTCGCTCAGTGCCTGCAGCTCCGCGGAGCAGGCGGCTGTGCAGCCAGAAAGAGGGGTGCAAGGGGGCGAGGAGTGTGAGGAGCCTCCTGAACTGGATATAGCCAGGTCGTGTGTTGGGGGAGAGTGGCTCATGCCTGAGGAAGCTGTTGGAATACTCACTTCTAGTTGCATTTGACTCCCTTTAAAGGACACTGGATGGGACTTTTAGAAGGGCTCTCACTGAAGTGTCTGCTAGCTTGCTTGATTAGATCGGGACTGTATGCCAGGGCCGGTCGGGTCAATGTTGTGAAGCAAGATTAGTGCTTGGAGAAAAAAACGTGGGGGGGAATCAGGGTGTCTGTCTGTAACGCATTTAGTTGAACATTGCCTTTTAAGGAAGGGAGGTTGTTTGTTAGTAAAATAAATATTTCATTCTTAAAAAATATCTGTGTTTTCTGTTCTTTCAGGATAGCAGTGGCTCACAGAACAATGTTCCAAAGAGGAGAAGTGCACAACAAACCCACTGGCTTCTGGGGAATGATAAAAAGTGTTACAACATCCGTTGCAAGCAGTGAAAGTATCCTTCATCTGCATGCTGGCACCTGCCTTGGGAGGTGGCCCCAGCTTGCTCTGTGTTGAAAGGAAAAGCATTAGGGAGGTCAGTTACGAGGCATTTGTGTTCTAACATGTTTCAGCAGCCTAAGCAGCAGGTCGTAATGTCTCGCAGGAAGTCAGCCTTCCAGCACCCAGCTCTCTGCACTTTTGGGATCTCTGGGAGCCTCTCAAGAGTCATGTGCCACAGCCCTTCCCTGTGAATGTGCTTTTGCATGACCATATTGAGGAATATAGCAGTTTGCAGGAGAGAGGTGTTGTAATGAAACAGTTGATGTGTTGTAGTGAAAAGGACTGTCCCGTCACATGATTGAAGTGGGAGAGTTTTCTATTCTGATGTATCCTATAGTCGTGTGAGTGGACTACATGTGTGTTTTGGTGCAAACATGAAATACACCTTTCCAGGAGGAATAGGCTGTGGGATACTTAAGCAAGACAGCAGCATGGCTGAGTTGCTGGAACAATATTTCCTGGCTATTGCTTGCTTTTTGGCCGTGTTGGAAAGCCTGAAGAAGGAGAAGGGAAGCAACTTGTAGACCAACTGAATTTTTCTCGTGTTGTAGCTTGACCCCCTTGTCCTATAGCACAAAAAGGTTCATACATACAGTGAACAGACCTTGTTCTGCTCATGTGAATGGGGTAGAAGGAGTCTGTGAATGGGATAGCAGAAAGTCTGTATTTCTGTATCTTACTGTTCCCTATCAACGGTTGCTGCCAGGCCACCTGAAATGTGCAGTTTGTATATTTAAGGCTGAGAACTCTTCTTCCCCTCCTTCTTTCTCACTAGCTGTTAAATCCCAAATTTGGTTATTTGACTGGGTTCTCCATAACAATCAGTGATTTCTTGGGGTAGTTACCCGTCAGTTTCAGTTATGAAGATGGTGTGAGAGCGACACATGATGCATACCAGTAACAAGGGGCACTGATAAAAGCAGAGCAGTTATTCTTTGAGAGCTCTGCTTCCGTTCTGCAGTGTGTTCCTTGGGCAAAGGAATAAGGAGCTTGATTAGTGACACTGTGTTCCCTACATTCTTAAAATAGAGTCCTGTGGAATAGGCATATCCTCAAGATTTCTTTCGTATAAGCGAAAAGCTCCAAGACCGGATCAAAAAAGGGGTCAAACCACTAAATGTGGCCCTCTGCGGGGAGGCTGGGGTGTTTCGTGTATAATTAAGAACTTGTGACGCATTGTAGCTTTGACTGTGCTGGTTTGCCAGATCTGTCCCTTATTCAGCAAGAAGTGGATGCCCTAGAAGAGCTGAGTCGGCAGCTTTTTCTGGAAACCGCTGACCTGCATGCAACAAAGGTACCAAGCACAGTCACTGCCCAGATGGGTTTTAGAGGCCACTGTAGTTGAGAAGGGGATGTTTGTAACAGGACGTTGCCAAGCTGTTCAGCCGGCAATACTTAAATTCTATGATACACTGAAGTGAGAATTTGTTTTTTGACTTTGGAATCTAGATGGCAGTTTCCTTCAGTTCAGATGTGCGCTGGGGGCAAGCCCCATGCCTCTAAGGCCATTCAGAATTAAAAGAACTGCAGAAAGATAAAGTTGAGGTTACTATTAATGATGCTTCTTTAAAATGTATGATTTTATGTTTTGGATTAAGCTGCAAATAATATTTGTGTGTGTGTTCTATTTCTCCCCCACCACTCTTTTATCTCCAGGAGAGAATTGAGTACTCCAAAACTTTCCAGGGAAAATATTTCAATTTTTTGGGTTATTTTTTCTCCATCTATTGTGTCTGGAAAATCTTCATGGTATGTAAATGTTTGTTGTATGTAGATGTAGATGGCACATCTTGCTTAGACTATGCTGCTCATGCACTGCATCTAGTAATGTTAAAGTTTCCTAAAAATTCTGCTTCTGGAAATTCTGACTAAAACACATTTGGGTGGAATAAATCTCTGCATCTCTCTTTCTGTGTAGAGCCTTAGGCCAAGCATCATCTTTGTGCATTTTGAAAATCTTAGATTATCCAAAAAAAAACCTCTTTTTGTGTTTAAACAAAGCAAAGGAGATGTGTGTTGAAACAAAGCAAGGGTGATATGTGTATCTCAGAAGTGATCTATACTTTTGTTTTGTTTTATGTAAATATGTTTTGTAGGCAACCATCAATATTGTGTTTGATCGTGTTGGGAAGACTGATCCGGTCACAAGAGGGATTGAGATCACTGTGAATTATCTGGGGATCCAGTTTGATGTGAGAATTTATTAATTCTTATACTCCTTTCAGAAATTTCTGGCTTATTTAGATAAGTGCATGTCCCAGACTGTGAGGGAATGGTAGAGCTTTAAGAATCCACCTTTGAGGAGGATGAGAAAATGCATTGTGAACTTTGCTTTTATACTGCTAATATGCTGAAAGATTAATTCGATCTAGCCAAAGAAGCAATGATCTGTTTGTTTTGGGCATGTGGAAACACATTAGTGAGCTTGCTTATTTTAGTATGTTTATCTACAGAGTAATTAACTTTGCCTTTACGCACAGATGTCTATTTGGTCTTTTTTTAACTACATTTCTGTGAACGTGATCTGTATAAATGAATGTTTTTCTCATGTATGTTTAAAGTAGTTACTTTTTTTTAAAGCTTGTTATATAAACCTGCCTACAATGGATATCTATACAGTAATAAATACAAAGATGATGAAGAACTATCAGCTATACAATGTGTGCAAATGAGGCTAGCCTTAGAGATTTAACTGTATTCTTCTTGTTGATACAGGTCAAATTCTGGTCTCAGCACATTTCCTTTATCCTTGTTGGAATAATCATTGTCACCTCTATCAGAGGCTTGTTAATCACACTTACAAAGGTATGTTTAGGCAGGACTTTTGTTTGGTTGTGGGCTGGAAAAGCTGTTAGGGGTTTTTATGTTTAAACAAGGCAAATATATAAACTTTCAGTATGCATTTAGATTTTTTTTGAATATATTAATGTAAATTCTTGCAGAGGAAGGAAAGGGAAAAATTATCTTCTGCGCTGTATTTTCACCACTTAGTGTCTACTGCTATGTTGCTGGGAAGAGTAGTAGATGTTAGATGGGATGTTAAATGTAAGCAAAGGAGCAAAATGATACTGTAGTCAGGGCATTTTAGGAAAGTTGATGAGAGAATGATTGGAAGCATTTAGATTGCCTCGTTTCAACTACTCATTCTTTATGTAGATCTGGAAAAACGTCAAATGTCAATAGGTATATATGAGTCATTATGTGTTGACCTATCTTTTGTTGACCTTAGCTTAATCATTGTTGTGTATATTGGTACATAGATATTGATATATATGTTTATCTTTAATCAAAAAGTATTGACAGACATGTTCCTTTCATGCTCTCCTAGGGAACATTTTGTTCCTCTGACTGCCTATTTTCAGTACATTTTTTTTCTTTTTCTTTTCTTTTGTCTTTGTAGTTCTTCTATGCCATTTCCAGCAGCAAGTCCTCCAATGTTATTGTTCTGCTCTTAGCACAGATAATGGTGGGTACCCAAGACCGTGGCCACACATATTTGTGTGCATGTGCACATGCAGATAATAGTCTGTACGCTAACCCTCCTTATCCCCCGATCCAACTGTGAAACGAGTGTTGTCTTCTGTTTTTAAATTGCAGGGTATGTACTTTGTCTCATCAGTGCTCCTGATCCGGATGAGCATGCCCCTAGAGTATCGCACTATCATTACAGAAGTCCTGGGAGAGCTCCAGTTCAACTTCTATCATCGCTGGTTTGATGTGATATTCCTAGTTAGTGCCCTCTCCAGCATCCTCTTCCTCTACTTGGCACACAAACAAGCCCCAGAGAAGCACATGGCTCTCTAAACAAGGACTGCAGTCACCCACTGCTCTCTGTCCTTCCTGCTGGACTGTTGCAACTCCTGTGGGCAGCAAAACTTGTAGACAAGACAGTTGTGTGTGTTCCAGCAGTGTGACTGGCTCTTTGAACTTCCACACACGTCTTCACCAAGCCCCGTGGCTCACCTTGCTGAGGTGCCACAGCTCGAAGGAGAAGGGATGCAAGTGCTGAATGGCAGATAGTTCTGACACCAAAGGAATAAGGGCAGTCCTTGGTGCAGCAGAATCTTGGTGGATTGGAACATGCACAGTGGGTTGTCTGAGGGGAAACCTCTACATTTGGTAGAACATCATTATAGAAGGCACTCAGTAAATGTGATTTCCTTTTGAAAAGCAAATCATAACTGGAGTTCAGAGGGTAGTGATTCTACTGTTGAATGCCTAAGTCTGTGGAATTAAATAAGCTTTTTGTAATATCTCATGAGTGTCATTATTTTGTGTCTATCTCAAAGGTTTGTCTGGAAGTGAGCTATAAAATGGCTAGGGTTTGCTGCCTGGCAAGAGGGAAATGAAAAGAAGCTGGAGGGAGGTGTGCATCACTAGTATCTAGTGTCTGTAAGAATTGGAGCTTAGCCTTTTGTTGCTGAGTGTCAGCTTGTTTCCTTTCCCTGTATAAATGGAATTAAGGCCTTGAATTACTGCTCAGTGTGAAGTCAGAGAAGTCACAACTATTCCTTGCTGACTTTATATGCTATAAATTAGTATTCTCCACAACTTGTGTGTTCTTCTACAGTAGCCCATATCCCCATTTGACATAATTCAAGGCATAGAAGTAAATTTTCCTCATGTGACTTGAACTTGTAGCTTCCTGGAGCCACTTCTTTGTTTGTTTGTTTTAAAATTGTTCTGGAACATAAATCATAGGAGGCAAGGGTAAGACCTGGGAAAAATAAGTGGCCACTCTCAACAATTTATTTCAGCATTGGTTTTGGTGTACAACAAGGAGGCAAAGCATACAGTAGCAGTGTTACAGAGCCATTTATGTCGTGTTGAAGACGATGTGGCTGGCTTGGAGTCAGGCAAAGCATGACTCTAAATTACATACACTATTGTAACTACTGTGTTCCATAACTATATGCAGAGAGAATTGCATTTAAAGGTTTTGAATTGTCAATTGTGAAATTAGTGTAAGGCTTTGGCAGGGAGAGGGAGAAACAAATCTTCTGTAATGTAAGTGAAGGAGCGTAATGTAATGCACATAGTACATTGGCCTGTGGTGCATCACAGCAGTTGTACTGCAATCAATACAGCATGTAAGTCACCACAGAGATTGAGTTGATGAACTTTGATTAGGAGAACTGCTTCTCTTGGGAGATGGGGAGAAGTCAGTTGCTCTGTATTTAAGAGCTTGTCTTTAAAAGGCTAAAACACTTAAAGATTTATGAAACGTGGTTCCTCTCTCTGTGGCAGCAGATTTAAGTGTATACCTCTAGTTATTTAAGCCTTTATAGAAAGAAGTGGCTGCTTACTTTACAAGGCAGAAAGGCAGTGATGTACAATTGTGGTGTGTAAATGACTACAAGTTACATTGAAGTGTTTATTTCAGGCAGTTGAATTTCAGCAAAAGATTGTACCCCCTTGCAGGTCCTAGGAATAGCTTAGTTCCAGGATGTGTAGTAGAAAAGAATGAAGTAAAGGGATTTGGGAGATTTATGTGTTCTTGGGATAGTTTGTCTTCTCACAACTGAGTGTCATCGCTGTTGTCACTGTCTGCTCTTGTTGAGGCATTTGATTGCAAAGAGGAGGATGAACTTGCCTGCATAGGAGTAACAAATACATTCTGATTATTTTCAGCTTGTTAAACATACTTGGTACTCTGCAGTGTTATGAACTTCTGCTTTAATCAGTTCTAATCATGTACCTGTTTGCATGGGAGAATGAGCCAGCAAATATGATTTTGTTGCTGTAGCATTTTTTTTGATTAAGTTTACCATACATATAAAAATTGTATGATAAGGTCTTCTTGTTTTGGTTTAATTATGGAATCTGCTGAATTTGCACACAGAAGGGGGACTAACTTCAGATCTCCAAAACTCAAACTGATGACTAGGAAACTTTTGAGAAAACTTGTAGTTAGGCATCTGCACACGTCATCATGAAAAATGAATAGCCACAATATTAGTTTTGTTCTTCCCTGTCTCTCTGCAGTAGGGAAGAAAAAAAAGTTGAAAAAAAAGGGGTCAAAATGACTGGTTCAAGAAGAAATACCTTGTTTCTCTTCTGACTTGTGTCAGGGTGAAGAATCTGACTTCAGATTCTTTCTAGTGGCATAATATGAACAAAATACTTCAAATTAGCATGTTTGTTAGAACATTTGTTTTAACCTGTCAGTTGTTATTCCTTCTACAAAATCATCTATTTCATCTAGTTTCCCCAAAAGCATTTCATGGTCTTTGGTGTACTTAAGCATTTTAAGGAGTGTCTTGCCCATTTTCCATCTTAATTAAGAATTACCTTGTTTGGATTACTGTGGTGCGCAAAATCTTTTGTGCACATTCTTTCTTGTGCTTTAATCTTGCATTAAAGATACCCACCTGTATTACGTGTGGGGAAAAGAAGAATTGTTCGTGGCTATCAAGACCCCAGCTTTTCTGTTAGTAACACGGACTGATTTCGTGAAAAGTAAAGATCCAGCTAAAGATCGTAGCTCAGGTAGACATACTAGCTGAAAACAAGTTCTTTCCCCATCCTCTGGATGAACCCTTAAAACCTGGTCAATGTAGTGTTACTCACTCTTTCTCTTGGCTCTTTTGAGGTTCTCTCTGGCTCTGCTGGTGGGTCTTCCGTGTAAGCAGGAGGTTCAGAAGTGTTGCAGGTTGGATCTGCTGTAGCTGCAGTAACGTGACTCTTCTGATGCTGGAGGTGTTCATAAGCATCTTTGCTGCACACCAGTACTGTTAATTCCTCACCACTATCCTTTACTCTCTTCACCACTTGTTCATAGGGTTCATCCCTCACATTCACCCCATTCACTTCTACCAAAAAGTCGTTATCTTTCAGACCAGCTATGTCAGCTGGCCCACCGTTTTGTACCTGAAAGGCAAGTTCCAACTGGCATTAGCACAAAACTTGAGAAAATGCATTAACAACTAGTGTTTATCTAGAATCTAGTATTAACTACTTCTGTTACAATATAGCAAAGTCAGCGTGGGAGAAGGAAGATACCATCATGGGACAGGAAGAAATGAATTGGGAGAGGCAACAGGATTTAATGTAATTAAAGTGGAACCCATGAAATTTAGTTTTAAGATCCTTGTTGTTGTTAAGGCTTTCATTTTAAAAGTGTGGCCTAGGGGAATCATTGAGATCAGGTGGAAAATTAATTTTGTTATTATTTGTCGATTCATGTCTGGTAACATTAAGTTTACTATACTTCATACATTTTGCAAATTCTTTAGGAACTAGTAAAAAACTTTTTTTTTTTCTTTTGGTGTTCATTTTTTACCTCTTAGTATTTTACCTGGTCCTACAATATAATCATTAAAGCCAAATTGACAATTCAATTTTTGGTTTAAGTGCCTGACAAGGAGGCTGTTTGACTATCCAAGCTTCCTCTTGTTTCTTATCCTGTGTTATTACCTCACTGACGAACAGTCCAGGTTTGTTCTTAATCATATTTAAACTGAAGCCAAATCCATTAGGCCCTTTCACCATTTTGCAGATCCTTGGCTTGTCCATTTTCTGCTCAGTGTTCAATTCCACTCTTTCTTCTGTTTTAGCTGGAGATGGATCTTGTACTTTGTGGTAGTATGAAGAGGGAGAAATTTGAGCCTGAAAATAAAACAATAACAAAGAAAAGCTTGTGTGTGTGTATATATATAAACTTATGAAAGCTTTATTAGACTTTCATGTTAATCACATTTTGTTTGAAATCTTATGCCTAGGAATTAAGCTGTGATGAAGAACCCTTCAGCCAGAAATTAAAAGGCAAAACTTATGATGTTGATCTGTGTGAGACAGGAGTTTTGTTACCTATTTAATTTGCAAGTAGTTACGTAGCTCTTGTTTTGCTGTCTTAAACTTACCTTTGGTGTGTTCAAATTTGGAATTGTTTCAGTAGTGTGTATGAAACTTGTGAACAGGCCAAAAACTTGGGATATTTAGTGACATGCTGTAAAAATGCAAGGATTGTTGCTTGGGTGTATTTTAGACATTTCAAATGCTTTAGGCATTTCGTGCCAGCTGAAGAAGTTCCAGTCAGAGCAGAGTGGCCATTTCATTGATGCTTATGTGTCTCTTTTGAATGATGAATTATCAATTCCTAGCACACGTTTCAAATGCTTTAGGCATTTTGTGCCAGCTGAAGAAGTTCCGGTCAGAGCAGAGTGGCCATTTCATTGAGGCTTATGTGTCTCTTGAATGATGAATTATCAATTCCTAGCAGTAGCCTGCATTTCCTTACCAGTTTATACATGGCGTCAGTCTCCTTATCTACTACCAAGAGTGTTATTTTCTCCTCTGACTGCTTGATCTTTTCCACTACTTGTCCGTGGTCCAGAGCCTCCACTTGTTCACCATTGACAGCCACTAAGATATCCTTGTCTTTGAGACCTGCTTTGGCTGCTGCGCTCCCAGAATCAACATCCTTGATTATGTGATCTAAGATCAGAAGGAAGGAAGGAAGTAGTAGTTTGTGAATGAGTATGGCTGGGAAGTTTAAAGACATTTCTGATGATAAAGGCTAACTTTCCAATCTGCACCAAGTTGAGACCATTTCCCTGATGTAGTCCTATTGCAAGCAGGACTATAAATAATTTCTCAAAGGTTAGCAGAAGAAGCCAGACATGCCGAATAAGGTCTGCAAAGCCTATGCAGGAAGAAACTATACAGCACCTGTTGTTGGCTTAGTTCTTACCACCAGTATTTTGTTCCATTTGTAGGTAAAAGCCATAACCGTTTGTTCCTTTCGGGAGCTCGATAAGTCGTGGCTTGAGGGGAAGCAATTTTAGGCTGGCACTCTCCTTGCTCAGTACCATCTTTTGACTTCTGTAATATTGGTCCGTTTCTTCATCAGAAAGTAGAAACATAATGTGGTTTCCAGATGACTTTACCTGCATCAGAACATTTACAGTCTCAGATGTTGTCCCTTCAACATCAAGTGGAATCATAGATGATTACAGTTATGGGTGCACTGATGGACAATTGGGTAGGTGCTGTTGATAAATGAGCCTCAAGGTCTAGGCCAATCTACTAAAGAACTGATTTCAG